TTCAACTGAATAAAAAACCCTATTTTTGAGGGAATCTCTCAATTGAAACCCTCAGCCAATCAACAACAACAAAAATAAAGAATCTATCACAAATGAAAGAACCCTAAATTGTTCAAACGAAAAACCCTAAATTATTCTGTAAACCGAAAACCCTAATTTTTTTAGATGTCCATATGAAATAACAAGCAATCGAAAAATTGAACAAAATATTCGACAAGGAAGACGAGATTTACTTACTGTATTCAGGGTTTTTTTCTTTTCTGATTTGAGAATTGGGACTGAATGCACGATCGAATTGGATGGAATAGGCTCAATAGGTTTTTTCGAACATGGTAACCGGCTATAGCCAGTTTCAGTTAGTTGACTAACGGTCAACTGACGTTCGGGACCAAAATTGATTGATTTTTCATACTTACGTACTAATATTGATTAAGTCGGAAACACGGGTATCAAAAGCAAAAAGTAAGTATTTTTGGGGTACCAAAAGTGAAATTTTCCCATAATTATTTGACAAGTCTCTAATTAAATTCGCTTATCAAACCATCTAATAACAATATGCTTTCCATTATATGCTCTCCAATTAATACAATCTAACTAATTATATGCTCTCTAATTAATACAATCTAACTATCATACAATCAATTAGGATGTTATGGAACCGAGCTGTTCGCGAACAAAGCTCGTTCGTATTCGTTCGTTTTCGGTAACAACTATTTCATTTAGCAGTCAAACGAACTCGAATATGAGATTATGTTCGTTTAGTTATCGAGCGAACACGAACAAGTTCGCGAACTAATCGAGCGTTCGCGAACAAAGAAAATATTTTATAATTTTATATATTATATATATGTATAATATAATATATAAATATGAATATATATTAAATTTAAATAAAATAAAAAAATATTTTATAATTTTATATATTATATATAGTATATACATATATGCATATATATTAAATATTACATAAAATAACTTGTATGACATTACAATAAAAAAAAAAGAAGTTAAAAAACATGAACACGAACACGTCGAACAATTCGAACACGAACATATCGAACCAATAAACGGCCGGACACGAACGGAATTTTTTGTTCGTGAACACGAACATATTCGAAAATTAGTCGAACTCGAGCTCGAACACCTTAAACTCGGTTCGGTTCTTTTCGGTAACAGTGTTACAATCAATTACCGTTGTGAGAGACTGCTATTCATGGCAATAACTCACAGTTGTTCAATTAACTCAAAAAAAAGATTGGAAATAGTTTCAAACTATCATCCTCCTGAGAATTTCATAGCCTCTTTTATCACACCTCCTGAACTTCTACTATATATGACATTATATTACCTATATGCATCTAACAATAGATTGGAAGCTTGAAAATATGATGAAAAAAAATGTAACACAAAGACCAAGTCATAGCAACACCCAAATAAATTTTTGGTAATATATAACCATTATTAACCCAAAAGATGAAGAGAAAATCAATAGCCACATGAGCTAAAGATCAACTCAAAAGAACAGGTCACATAACACCATAAACAGTTCAACAATCAAGAAGCAACCCCAGCAGCACAGCAGCATATATATAGCAGCAGAAGCAGTCATGCCCCTCCCCATCTCATCACAAGAGACCAAGGAAGGATCCCACTTTCATATCTTATTCCTAGAAAACCAGCTAAACATGATAATCATAATTATTAAAACTCTCAAAAACACCCTCACACAGTACACCCCCTATGCCTCCTCAACCTCTTCCTTGGCCCCACCAAAGTCGATCCGCTTGTACCACTTGGCGCACACCACGTAGGCCACGAAGTCGACAGCCGTGAGCACCCCTATGAGGAAGTAGAATCTGTCCATGCGTCCTGCGTTGAGGTCCTCTGGTATCCACCCGGGATTGTCCCCCTTGGCCGTGATCCCCATCACCATGTTGACGAGCAAGCTGCTGACGAAATTCCCGAGGGATATCGACATCATGCAGAGCGAGCTCCCGAGGCTCTTGATCCCGTCCGGCGCCTGCCCGTTGAAGAACTCGAGCTGTCCCACGTACATGAACACCTCCGAAGCCCCCACCAGCACGTACTGCGGCACTTGCCAGAACACGCTCATCCCGCTGTGGTGCTGACCTGGCACCACCTGCTTCAGCCGATACACCTCCGTCAGCCCAGCAGCCACCATGGCGAGCATGCCGATGATGAGCCCGATTCCCATTCTCTGGAGCTCCGTCAGTCCCTTTGGGTTGCCGCTCAGACGGCAGGCAAGCGGGATGAGGATCTGGCGGTAGATCCCTGTGCAGAGGAGCACGCTGCAGATGTCGAAAACCGACATGCTGGCGGCCGGGAGGTGGAAGCCGTTGGCGAGGTGGGTGTCCATGACGTCACCCTGCTCGACAAAGAGCGAGGCCATCTGGGTGAAGACGACCGAGTAGATGATGGTGCAGAGCCAGATGGGGAGCATTCGGAGGATGCATTTCACCTCTTCTACTTGGGTTACAGTGCAGAGGCGCCACGGGCTAGCCTGGCCCTGCTCGTCTTTCTCCGTAATCGTAGCCGCTTTGTCCAGAAACCTAAACAAGTAAAAAAGAATTAATTTTTGTTTCATGTTTAAAAACCACCCCAAGCGAACGAATTAGTATCTCTTACGCAAAATCGTCGGTGTGAAAGATTTTGCGGCTACCCTTGATGGCCGACTCGGTACCCTCGACTTCGTACAACCCGACCTCCACGGGTCGAGCGTTCCATTTCCTAAACGAGGCCGCGAACACCTGGGCCACGCGGGGAATCGGGTTCCCGCACGCCTTCACATACCGATACTTGGGGGAACCGAGCAGGTACCCGCCTAAGGCCAGGACGGCCGAGGCAGCCGACACCCAGAAGCCCAGCGTCCACTTTCCAGTGTCCTCATAATACACGAGCACGGTGTTGGAGAACAACGAGCCGGTGTTGAGAGCAAAGTAGAAGTAGCAGAAGAATGCGGCTTTCGAGTCCCTCTGCTTGGGGTCGGACTCGTCAAACTGGTCCGCCCCCAACGTGGCTATGGTCGGCTGGTGGCCACCGTACCCAAAGGCCACCAGGTATATGGCCAAGTAAAACAAGGCCGTGCCGAGCATGGTGGGCGGCCTGCAGTCGAGCTTCCCATCACCGCAGCCCGTGGGCTTGATCAGGAAAAACCACGACGATATCGATACGAGCACTAGGCCCTGCATTTTTTCAGAATGTCAGGAGAGGTGTAATTTTATTACGGATGGGGTGTTTATTTAATTTATTTCGCTAAAGTTACCGCGACAAAGACGACTTGAAAAATGGCGCAAGTGAGGTAACGGCCCCAGTAGGAGTCGCTGAGGAAGGCGCCCACGAACGAGCAGAGGTAGACGGTCCCGGTCCACTTGCTGACGTTGTTGGCTGCAGAAGCATTGTCCTGCCCAAGAACTCGGGTCAGGAACAGGACTAAGTTCACGCCAACGCCAAAGAAAGCTAGTGTCGCGAGCCCCTGGTTTGCTAGCAGAAGAAAGGCTAAACCCCAGCCACCCCTGCTCTTCTTTTTTATTATTTGCTGCTGCTTGACTGTTGTGTTCTTCTTATTTTCGGTCTCTTGGGTGTTGAGGGTTGCAGTTACCCTTGGTGCAGTCTCCATAATCACGGTAAGGGAGAGCTTCCTCTGTGAGATTGACAGAAAAATCGGTTAACAAATTATAGCATTAATGTATCATCAAAATACCAACTTGTTAGGTTAACTGAAACATCAAAAGGAAACCGAAAAATTCATCAAATTAACTGAAAACATTTAAGTAAGCGCCGTCGTCCATTATTATTACCTTTTCCTGAACTTGACGAGAGAGAGAGCAAGGAGCTCGGGGATGTTGCCAGATTCCGGGGACGGAGACGACAATGTGTCGACGACGACGGGAGTAACCGCGAAAGCTGGCCGGAAAAACGCTCGACTAGCCGGAGGGAATTCAAGGCCGGCAGAACCTATAGTCATTTATGGTGAAAAACAGAACAGTGGGTTCTTTTTGTTTGATCACACCGATGATGTACTTAAAAAAGACCAGCAACAGAGCAAATGTATATGAACTGTAATTCGAGCTAAGAAAAAAAAAAAACTTGAAAATTATTGAAGATGATGATTGTGTTGTGAAGGTGGAGATTTCGAGAGGAGAATGGGATTGTAATTTTTATGTCTGAAGGTATTTGTGGAGAGAAATGTGTGGCGTTTGTGGGTAATTTATGGGTGTGAATAATAAGTGTGTTAATTGGATGTGTAAAACAAACTCCTAATAAAGCTCCTACAGTTGCGTTGCTCCAACTGTGTAACAAACACTTGAGCTGGATCAGTTCAAAATAATTTTTTTGTTAACAAAGAAAAATTTATCGAGTTTTTTTCGTTTCAATATCCTATTCTAGGGGTTTTCATTAAGTTCTAGAATTTTTTTTTTTTTTTACCATCAATATGGGTTGGTTCAAGTAGTAAACAGTTTGGTGTCCCTTAAGCAAGGTCTTGGTTTCGAGTCTTTGTGGATGCAGAAAACCCTTGTTGGGAGACTCACCCACCACTGCAAGGTGTGCGCCCCAGTAGACCAACGGATTAGTCGAAACATAGCTCTGGATAACGTGGATGACTACCAAAAACAAAGAGAATACTCCTTTTTTTTAGGTGTAGTAGAAGATTTCAAAGTATGGATTCAGTTTGCATTTTATTAAATATTAATAATTTATATCAACATTGTAATAATTTAAATAATTTATATAATTATTTAAATTATTTAAATTATTTAAATAATTTATATAATTATCGTAAGTTAAATAATTTATATCAACATTGTCCAGTTTTACAGTAGATAAAAATTTATAAAATACGATAGATATTTATTATCTAATTTATATTTTTTTTTGGGTACATGGACCTTCCGGTTTCTGGATCTACAGGAAAACCGACTAATCCGGAATCGAGCTTGGTAGTACCACAAGGTAAGAATCTAATTTATAATTTTAAATATTAAACACACACATACAGTGGCGGAGCCACACCTTGTGGCTAGGGTCAGCTGACCCCTATAGATTTCAAAAATTTTAGTATAAAATACTATTCAAACACTGTTTACTAGGTTAATGACCCCGCTAAAAAATAGTGCCGACCCCGGTGAAATTTGAGGCTGGCTTCGCCCCTGCACACATACATGATTAAATAATAGTTATTGCATAGGGAGATGCTACGATCCTGTTACGGAATTGTTAACTGTCAGATCAACTATACCCGACAATTACATGATGAACTGACGATTACAAATCCCTACGAAATAGTTCGATAACTTAACCGTAGTATTACCGTGTAACGTAATTTTGGAATAGAAAATGGCGTTTCTTTATTTTTCATTTCCATTAAATTTTGCCCCTATTTTCTGTTTTGGGGGAAAAGATAAGCAGAAGTTGAGTTCAGGCGGCGAAAAGGATAAGGACCAGTCCCTATTAAAAGTGTTTATTAGTAAGTACTACTTATCAAACGAAACACGTGACGTCTGAGATAGGAACAGCCAAATTTGTACGTACTATGGTGTGTTTCTTTGAAGTTTTAAAAATAAATGAACATGTTCTATTTTTCTTTCTATTTCCATTTTTGTCCCTATTTTCGGTTTCAGTTGAAAAGAGGAGTAGAAGTTAGTTACGGGCGGAAAGGACGAGGACAAGTCTGTCCGCTTCAAAAGTGCTTATCTGTTATCACAAACATATCAAATGAATCACCCCGTGACGTCTCAAGTACAGACAGACAGCTAAATATAAGTTGTTTCCCACTCCAACTTATCATATCTATTTTTCTTTTTTTTTCGAGCAATGCTATAAGTACTAATGTAGAGTGTATGTATGATTGGGAAGAACACGAACAATTCACAAGAGAATACTTCAATTTTTCGATAAAACAAGTCTGTCCTCTCAAAGGGAGAAGACGATCTTTAAATACATCAGAAA